AAACAATCCAAGCATGTAGAATCACAACATGCAAGTGTGGAAATCCTTTTCAAGGAACAAGATAATAATGGAGGGAAGCATGTGATTCAAGAATAATTTGTTTTTTCTTACAGCTGCAATAATTTTAGTATTATCTGGTGTAGTAGACCAACAAGGTAGAATAGGAACAAGGTCAAGCTGCATACCATCATCAATAGTTTTACAAAGGAATAACAATTATAGGTAAATTTTGTGTTTGCAATTGCTTTGTGATACTATTGACTTTTACTTATTTCTTAGCATCACCTATCATTAGAGTGGGTGCAAAATCTTCATTACCTATCTTTTTTTTTTTTTGTTTAGAACCTCTTGAACTGTCTCACCTGATGGCGAATTCTTCATCTTCAGATTCCTATCCTTCAAGCTCTTCTTCTTCTACAAATTTGAGAGCAAATCCCTTCCTTTTCTTGTCCATCTCTTCTTTGTAATGGAGAAGAGTTACTTCATACTCTTCCAAGCTTCCAAATAATGCTACTACATATCTCATGGGTGATCCTTAAACTTTTGAGATGATAGTGACCTTTGGTTGTCATTTTGGAGGAAAACAATTCATTTGTTCTGATTGGGTGTACTTCTTCTCTAGTAAGTGATTAATGATATGCAAGAATCTAATTTGCATATCTTTAATTGTCTCTCATTCATTCATCTTGAACATCTCATATTCATTGATGAGAATGCTCTTCATCTTTTATTGTTTTTTATCAGTTCTTTTGTGAGTTTGTCTCAAGGCATTCCACGTTTCTTTTGTCATTGTATAATGGGTGACTCGATAATACTTCACATGGTTGAGAGCGCAAGCTATTGTAAGGTTAGCTTTGATGTTTAAGTTGAGGAGTCTCTTGTCCTTATCATTCCATTAATCTCTCTTCTTTTCTCTTATTGGACGATATGGTCTTGGAATCACTAGAACATAAGGACCTTTGAAGGCTATATCTAGCATTTCGATGTCAAGTGCTTCAAGATATATCATCATCATGCTCTTTCAGAATGGATAATTTTCTCCTTTGAATGCACTAGGTTTGGAGGTAAATAACCCTTCACCAAGATTATCATCCACAAAATTTGTCATTAGTCGGATTTTTACACCTTGATAGTTAAGTTAAAAAAAAAAAAATACTTAGAAGCATTAATTGTTATTTTTAATCTTACTGATGGAATGGATATATATGGGGCGAACTGATGAAGTATCCATTATACTGATTTAATTAGCCATAACTCTTGAATTCTAATCATTGTGAGAGATGTAATGAAATCGTCGTTCTAATCTCATCTGCAAACGGCATGGCTTCCCTAAAAAAAGATGGACAAGATATGTCCTTTCCAATGGAGTTACTATGTTTAAGGAAAAAGGAAATAAATTGCCACTTTTCATTAAATAGTACTTAATGTACTCGACATAATATCATTGAGTTAATACCGATAGAATTATAACAATGCGGATAATGTCAGTGCAAAACTTAAGTTCAAAGGCCTTACTTCCTGAAGTAATCAAATAGTACGTGTGTTTAAGTAAATTTTTTGAAAACAAATACTTGCAGTGATTAGGTAGTATGGGAATTCTTGTTGAAAGATAATACATTTGAAGAAACAACAATTCTAACGTTAAGTCTTAGTTTTCAGTATATTCTCTTAATATTTTGAACTTTTTAACACATGAATACCAGTAGTAACATGGTAGCATGTGTATACTTTTCCAAAACTTTCTGAGTAAACGTTGAATGTGGGTGTTTAACATTAGCACTGGTGTTAATCTTTGAAACTGAGAAACAGTACCGATATTAATGTATTACTATCGGTATTGTTCATAAATAATTAAGAACTTTCTAATTAAGTACCTCAATACAGATATTGATTTATTAGTTTTGGTATAAAGCTTCGCAAAACATTTAAAGGCACAGTACCGGTAACAAAATTTGGTGCCTATATTGAAAGATAAAACCATTTGAAGAATTAGTTTAGGCACTAACTGAGAAATGACTTTCGGTACTAAGGGTAGCTAGAAAATTTTCCAAGTTAAAACAATAGTACCGATGGTAACAATGGAAAACTGGTAATCTCAATAATTTTTTTAAAGCAATAATAGGGGTATTGAAAGAACAGTACTAACATTACAGAAATCATTTTGAAACACTTGGTAAGAAAACGATAAGCATACGCATATACCTCTTCATATCATTTCTTGAGAATTTAATCTATTAAAAACAAAATCTATTCTATTTTTATCATCATCAAAATCAGGATTTAACAGTTTTAATAGTGTAATTAAGACATAAATATTGACTCAAACATTTCATTATCTTCCCTTAACATGATCATGCCCTTTGACTCATTGAAATGTTTTTTTGTCAAACTTTCTCCTGAATTTGGAATAAAACTCCTTCTTAAGTTCTACTTCCTCCACAACCCCCTCCCCTCATTATTAGGCAACATAATCTGATTAACATTCCAGCTAACATCCCATATATCACCATCCAAACATTTTTTTTTATGAATATTGATGGTGTTGGAGGGTCAATTAGCTTTAATCAATTTTGCACAAAGAGCATGGTGTATCCTCATGCAACTAACATATAATATCTTATTAAACCAAATTTTATCAACCCTGGCTTTCAAATTTTCATTATTCCTCACATGCTCTGTTATTTCTGCAAATTGTTTTGGCAAGCATTGTGTTAGAATTTTGCCTTCTTTTCTCGAAGAGGGACCTTCTGTCCTCTCACTTTTTCCAATTCAGTCCTCTCTTTCTCAGACAAATTTTTTCATACTTCTCTAATAACTTTGTTTGCCTCTTGCATTTCCTTGAACATGCCTTTCTCTCTCTTGTTTGACTTAAAGTCTTGTTTAAACTTATGTAAAGCATTAACATGTAACTTTCACTTTTTCTTTCCCTTCACCATCCTTTCTATGGAGAACATTTTTCCTTGATTGATCACAAGCTCCTTGCCTTCAAGTTTCAATCTTCCCTGCTTGCGTAAGCCATTTTCTTTAGAGAACATTTTTCCTTTTCATTTTCAGAAACCTTTTGCCAAGGGCATTTAAGTCATTTAACATTTCCAAATTTTGACCCTAAAGAAACTTGTTCCTTCTCCAGTTTTTAGGGAATTCTGGGCAATAAATTTACTGGACAGGGATTTTGGGGAAAAGTTCCCTTCATCTTAATCCAATTTGTAATTTTGTTTTTGTTTTTTTTTTAAAAAAGAATTGTATGAAATTTCAACCATAACCACAGAAAAGTTGGTGGACAAGTAACTAAGCACCATTGTGGGAAAAGTGACGTTGACCGGGAAAACAAATGAAGGGAGGGCATTTTTTTAGTTGAGGGGATGATCACTGGGCTCTATTAAATTAATATTATTTAAGCTTTCAATAATACTTTTAAAAAAAGTAAGTTTAAAATACCAATTCAAATAACTATAAATTTATGAGTTTTAATTACAAATATAGCATTTAAATTCACATACAACTCTTAAATTATAATTAAGATTTATTGTCATAACTGTTTAAATCCATGAACACAATTCTTTTGTTGTCAAGAATGTAGCTACGATTAATTTAATCTTTTGAAATTTAACCATCATGTTTTCTTTTTTATTTTTAGAATAATGCAACTTTTAATCCTTTAAATTTATTTTAAATTCTCCTTCAAGTTTAATTTTTATCAATCTAATCTCCTAAATTTATTTATTTATCAATTTGGTTTTTAATATTTAAAAATGAGGTTGCACTATTAAAATTTGCTGACACGAATAATAGAATATGGATAGAAGCCATGTAAATTGATGAAAAGAAATATAATCACTTAGATAGAAACAAAATAGACTCTAAAATTTTAAAAACAAGAGAATAAAACATCAAGTAAGAGATTATATTAATAAAAATTGAATTAATTTGAGGGTTAATTTGTTCTCACTTAGTTACATATCCATGCCAAGTCATCAATATATTTTGTATATTAAATTATTTTAAAAGTCAATTTGTGCTTTAAAATTTAAATGACTCACATAATAATTTACGAAAATATAAAGAATCAAATTTTTAAAAACTAAATTTGAAAGATCCAATCAATAATCAAGTCAAATTTAAGAGATTAAAATTTATATTATTCCTTAATTTTTCAATCACTTCAGTGTCATTTTGGTTGGAACATTTTTTTTTGTGCCAAAATAGAGTAAGGTCTTGCGAAATAATTTTAGAAATTTAAGTTTTTTTAACTTGCTAAATGGGTACTTGCATGTAACTCTCTCTTTAAAACTTATAAATAATATAATTTTTATTTACAATTCAGTATTTATAAATATGTAAATAGTATAGTATCTATTAAGCTCCGCGTTTCTATATTATTATATCATTATTATTTTATCCTAATCTCTACTCCATATTTTATCATTTGAATGTAAGATTTAATTTTTATATAAAATTTTGTTCAATTAACATAACATTCATTAAAAAAAGTCTATCATATCATTGTATAAATTTAGTTATTGCAATATTTATTGGGACCCACCAATTTTTTTAATTTTTTATTTTTTGTGCTAATATGCTTGAGAGGACCAATCCCAACCCAAAATGTCTATTCAAGCAATGTTTTGAAACCCGAACTGGACATCGAACCAGAAAGAGCAGCGAGTCACAGTTCTCACGGTTCAACTGCTTAGATCGGCGATCGAACCAATGACATAAAAATTAAATAAAAAATAATATTTATATGCATATATATCTATCTATATATAAGACATTAATTTGACAAAAAAAATAATAATATATCAAGCAACACCACAAATTCACATTGCATAACATGTTCTAATTGCTGAAAATCTCAAACAATGACATCACGAATTCAAAATATAGTCTTAAACATGTTTTAATTGCTTAAAATCTCAAACAAAGATATCATAAATTCAAAATATATGTCTCAAATATATTATTGCAAAGTTCACAACATAACTCATAAGTTTAAATTTTCATGGCTTATCAAATATTGGGGGATTTTGGTTAATCCAAGCATGTGTAGGCTCAAAGGCATCAACATCTTCACTAAAGCTATCAATATCCTTTTGAGAAAATAATTGTAAATCAAGTCCACTAATAGCTTCACCATGTGCCACGTTGCCTCTTTGCTTATTATCTTCGCAAACAAACATTCAATGTATATAATCAAATTAATGAGAATCACATGATAAATGATAAAAAAAGTGAAAACATTAAGTAAAAAATACCAAACCTTCCTCATCCTCTTGATGAATGATAGCTTTTGGTAGCACTGTGTCATCATAAATGAGATCTTGTTCTATATCATCAATATTGAGCAAAGAACAATCATCTTCTTCCATTACCCAATAATCAATCTGATCAATACTTTCATAATCAACAAGGTCCAAAGCTTTCTTCTTGTTAGCAACTCTAATAAAAACACACGATAGTAATAAAGTATAAGGATTCATGTAACTTATTTTTTATAACTACAAATGAAAGCAAAATTTTGAATAATTTACCTATTCCTTAATCAAAAATTGTAATGAATATATACAAGATCATTCAATTTTTCATGCTCCAACTTATTCCTTTTCTTGGAGTGTATTCTTTCAAAGACACTCCAGTTCCTTTCACAGCCCGAGGAAGATGCAGTTGGGCCTAATATCTTAACAGCCAAGTCTTTAACATTTGGACAGCTGCTCCTAAAATGTTTCCACCATTCATCTATCATGAGAAAAAAAATAAGTTATTAGAATATATTTTAAAGATAAAAACAATAAATATCAAAGATAAAAGTATACCAGGTTGAATGTTTTTTGCAGATTCTATAGCCAATGGATGACTAAAGCTTCCACACCTTTCTTGATATTGTGTGCCTTCTAACAAAAACTTGGTCTTATTAGAAGAAATTTTTCTATCTATCATATTAAGATATCCTTGCATAACCTCTAGCTTTGTAAAAAAATTTTCCTTATCATAAAGGAAAGCAGGATTGAAGAGATATGCTGCTGCATGAAGATTTTGTCAAAGTTGAGAATCCCACCTTCTCTTAATAATACTTGTATAAGGTTTGTACAAGGATTTTTTGTGTCTGAAAGTATTCTTTATAGCTCTTTTTACTCTGTACATGCCATCATAAACATAGCCAAGTGAAGGCCAATCATCAGAATTAACAATTCTCAACAATCTCAGAAGTGATTTTAAAATTTCAACAATAATTTTACAATTATTCTAGAACTGATTGTCTAATACAATCATTGTCACAGCCTTTGCCTTTGAATCCTTGTAATATCTAGATTCTACAAATGTCTTGCTTGTTATCAAAGCTTGAATATCATGCCTATACTCATAGATACTTTTCAAGGCAATGAAAGTAGTGCCAAACTGTGTTGCACTAGGCCGGATGATTTCTGTCCAATCTTCTCTTTTCCTTAACCAAGCTAGCAAAAAGACATGGTTGTAAATGAATTTTGAAACCATGGATGCACGTGTTGCTAAGCTACTAACAATCTCCATTTTACCAATATATGATAAAATCAAATTTAAGCAATGGGCAGTACAAGAAGACCAAAAAATAGAAGGAAACTTATCATTTAACAACCTTCCAGTAGCTTTATAATTAGTTGCATTATCAGTTACCAAGTAGACAATGTTGTCTGCACCAGCAAAAGCAACCATATCCATGACTAAGTTGAAAAAATTTTGAGCATCCTTAACAATATCTGATGCATCAACAGATTTAATAAAAACCATTCCTCTAGGGCAATAAACAAGAAAATTAATCAACTGTCTATTTCTTTGATCCTGCCAACCATAAGCCATTATTGTACATCCAGTCTCAGCCCAAAAGCTTCTACATTCATCAACTAATGATTGCACCTTCTTTTTTATGTCTTGTAATAATTTGGTTCTCACAGCATGGTAAGTTGGTCCTTTATAACCAGGGCTAATAGCTGAAATAACATCTATCATGGGCTGATAGTAAACAAAATTTATAGCATTCATAAGAATGCAACAATCATAATCTACTCTATGCAAAACTTCTTTACCTATAAATGCACTTTGAATTCTTGGCTGTGCTCCCGAGCTTGTCCTTGGGGCAAAGAATTTGTCTCCCACTGCAGATGCCTTTTTTTTGTCTAGTTGAGAGGAACTTGAAGGAATTATTTCTTGCACAATTTTATCATCCACTTCCAATGGATTGTTCTCTTCTTTTCTTAATTTTTTAGTTGGTCTCTTTTGATCAATTTCTTTCAAGTTTTCCTCCAATTGATAGCAAACATCATGTGGCATACTTTTTCAACTAGTTGCATCTCCTTTTTTTTCCAGCAAGGTGTTATTTCATTCTATGTATTCCACCACTACCAAATTCCTTCCATAGTATAGGCATTTAAAGCGAGGTTTGCCACCTTTTTCATTTGGTATTTCAGTGCAATGCTCCCATGTAGGATCTGACTTAGCTCTAACAGATTGTGTAGATGCAATACTAGATATTTGTTCAGATGACATTTTCTAAATTTAAATTGAAAGCACAGATAAAATGTGAAAAAGAGAGTAGAGCTAGGAATTAGATCATATTCAGAATTCCATATCAATAAATAATAAAGTAATGAAAAATAAAACAAACAAGCCAGCTGGAGTCCTGGACAAATTGTGCATACATACTACTCATTATACAAATTACAAACTCAAATACATAGATAGAACATATAAGCTAGAAATTGAACCTGGAAGGAGAGCAGAGCACACTAAGAATCAAATAAGTTGGAGCAAAATGAGAATCACACAGAGGTAAAGGTATGAGCTAGAGCTAGGAGGAGCTGGAGGCAACTCGAGTAGAGGTAGAGGCAGAGGCACGAGCTCAAAGTGGCAAGCGAGATGAGAATGGCTGACAATGGCGATGACAAATCTGGGTCTAGGCTGAGAATGGCAAGCAAGGTGCGAGAAGGATATGAATCAAAATTTCAGATTTGAAGCTTAATCAGTTGATCATTAAAGATGAGAAATAGAGAAAATTGAGAGAGAGACTAGAGTCACCAGAGGCGCGAGATGGCTAGTCAGTGAGAGACGAGTTTTAAGCTCTGGCCTCTGAGACTGAGTCTGAGAGTGTGAGAGTGAGAGTGAGAGTGAGACTGACTCTGTGTGAGTGTCGAGTGGGAGAGGTCAGGTCAGGTGAGCTGCGATAATGAGATGGGTGACGGTGAGACGGCAAGAGTGAGCTCACGTTTGTACGTCTATGGAGTCTGCACTCTACTAGAGGCGCGAGAGGCAAGACGACGTGATAGAGGGAGAGAGCAGCCAGTGGTCTGTGACTCTATGACTTTGTGCTTTGTTTAACTTTAGACTTCAACTTGGTGGTAGAACCGTAGAAGCCCTAAAGTAAATTTTTTTTATTTTTTCAATTGACTCGGATTGACCCATGTTGAATCGAACTTGGGTTCTGGGTCAACTCTGGTTTAATGAAAATCGAACGGTTCTGTCCAGGTCAATTCGGTTCAATAGCTTGAGTGGTTTAATTGGTTGAACTAGACCACTTTAGTCAGCAGGTGACGATTGAACCGGTTGGATCGTCCGGTTCGATCCAGGTTTGACATCATTGCTTTCAAGGGAGACATGCCTCTCTTTCCCCACTTCGCATCCGCAAGCCATGAGCACCGCGTGCTTATCAAAAATATGACCCAATTTGACCCTTTTATTTTATTTTGAAATAATTGTTATCTTTCATTTAAATTAATTTTAAGTATCTTTAATATTATATTTATTAATATAAAAATTATAAAAAATTTTAATATTAGGCATGGACTATCCAAAGCATATTTAAATGATCAATTTATAAAATTTATAAATTTTTTTAATATTAAATTAAGTCATTCAAATTATATTTAAACTGTCTAGTGTATATCTAGATAGTTAAATTATAAAATTACAAAAAAATTTAATTTTAAATTTGATCATCCAAATTAAATTTGTTCTGGTTAGATTAGTGATGATTGAATTTATTAAAATTTAAATGGTCCAAGTCATGTTGGAAGTGATGAACACAGAAATCAATCCAAATTTAATATTAATTTTTTTATAATTTTTATATTAATAAATATAATATTTAAGAATAATTAAAAATTAATTTAAATAAAAGGCACATGTCATTTCAAAGTAAAATGAAAGGTGAAGATTGAGCCACGAATGATAACCACATGGTGCTCATCATTGCATATGCTATTTATTTCCCAAATAATATAAAAAGCTACTCTCTTCATTTAAAAATATAAGGCATTTTTAATTAAATCTCATCCTTCAATAAAATAGTTACTTATTTTTTAACTAACCCTATTTTTTTATATTTACTCATATTAAATACCTTACAATAAATGAAAAGTCATTATCAATATAGATACTTTAAAACAAAAAGCAATGATTGCACCTCAAAAGATTAAAAATGCATTACATTTTTAAACGGAGAGAGTAAAAGTTACACTCTATTATTCATTATGTGTTATAATATAAATTAAATTAAATTAAATCAAATCAAAGTAATGAAGGATATAAGTTAGGAATAGGTTTTTCATTTTCTTTAATGATAAAATAAGTGGATGAATTTCAAACCTCCTCAGTTTAAACTTCAAATTAAGAAGAAGGAATTTGATTCCCTTCATCCCAATTCAAGTCTTCAACTTTTGTCGATGAGAAAATCATGTTAGTAAAATTACTTCCAATAGAAAAAAATGACTCATGAAGGATTTGAACCTTATGGATAGAAATAACTATATTTGGAGAGCTACGGTCTATTTGATTTCTATTTTTATTTATTGAGGACTGTTTGGTTTCTATTTTTATTTATTGTTTTTAAAAACAAAATAATATGAGAATCTATTTGGTTATGTTAATTAAAAAATAGTTTTAAAATTAAAAAATAGACTGATAGTCACTATAGCAAAATATACCTTTTAAACCCATGTATCTAAATTGGATCAAGCACAAACGGTCTAAAAAGGGGGGCAATGGCATTGTTGTGAAAAAATGAAAGGTTAAAGTGATATCTAAACTGGTTACAAATTATAACTAATTTAGATATCACTTCAACCTTTTACTTATTTACAACAATGCCACTGCCTCCTTATAATTGATTTAGATATTAATAAAATTTTATTTGTTTATTATGAAATAACATTTAAATCAATTATGAGTAACCGCTTTAGATGTATATTATAATTTTTGGGAAAAAAATTTGCACATCTAAATCGGTTTTATTTTTTAACTGGTTTAGATATATTTAAAAAAAATTATTTTTTAACATATCTAAACTAGTTTTAATTAACAACCAGTTTAGATATTGTTGTGCTATTTCTAAAAATAGCATCTTTATCATTCTTTCATCGTGCGATTAAACCCATAATCACTTATAATCAGAGTCAAAATCTTCAAACCCAGATTTCTCAATTAGATTCAAACCCTGAATGCTATTCTTGAGCCTTAAAATGATCGTTCTCCTGTGATTTGTTCATCTATTAGGTTCGTGTTCTTTGTTCTTAGCTTCAATTTGAGTTTTGCACAATCACTGAGCTTCATCACCTTTATAGAGCTTCTTGCTTTGTTTCTCTTGCTTTAATCTTTTGTGTCAGGTTGTGCTTCAACCTAGGTATGTTGTTTAATTCCCATGAAGCATGCAAAATTCCAATATTTGAGCTTCATCGTATCTATAGCTTTAAGCTTCATTGTATCTGTAGCTTTAAGCTCCAATTAGTTAATTAATTTTCATGAGCTTCTATTCTTAAATTTGGTTATGTGACTGTGAGCTTGATACTGGTTTTAACTTGAAAAAACAAAGGTTGATATTGGCTTTAGCTCATTGCGTTTGAGTTGTACATATTGAGGTGTTTGTTAAAATGTTGCCTCTTAGAATTGTTCTTTATCATATCCCTTCATGTGGAACTTGTGGAGTTAAGTTTGTTAGCTTAATTGTGTATGAATTATGGGATGAATTTTTGTTCTACTCTAAACTCCAATGAGATGATTTTGTTCTTTACAAAAAAGGAAATTTATTTTTTATAGTAAATTTAATAAATCAAATTATTATTCTCCATAATTCAATACATGCCAAATTAATTACTAGTAGCTAGTACTCGCAGTGGACCTAAAAGTTGGTCTAGTAGTTACTATATTGTCATTATCATAAAAATTAAAACCTAGTTGAACTATTTTTTCATGCCAAACAATGTTTTAATTCATAGTTTCAAGCACATTAAAGGCAAAGTATGGTTCTCAGCAAATAGTACTTCTAAGCAATAGAAGATATTATTAACCTCTTACACATAGTATATGATGTTATTTTTCTTGGTACAATTTTTTTGGCCAAATTCCTCATATAAATTAATACTAAATAAATGTGAATATTTGATGTTATTCCTTGTAATGTGGCAAGTCCAACTTTTAGAACATGGTTGATTAATTTTACAATTTTGAAATCCGATTTGGCATTCATTCTTCCTATTTTTTAATATTGAATTATTGTGAATTAAATTATTATGATTGCATGACTAGTTTATTTTTTTGAGTGCAACTTTGTTTTACTTAAGTAGTATAATTTTCTCCTTGTACTATTATTAGGAGTCCAACTTTTAAGGGAGACTCTGTCTAAATTTTTTTAAAACTTACTATTTGGCCCTAAGTTTGTGTTTGGATTGTTAACTTAGGTTAAATATTGTTGGCTAAAATGTGAATCATTAAACTATGCTGTTATATATTCAATTATAAGATTATTGGGAGGTCTAACTTATACGGTAGACTTTACCAATTTTTTTTAAAAGCTTATTTTTTGGCCCATTTCTCTATGTGGAAAGGGCCAAAGAATATAAAATTAGCTTCCCTCCTACTTATTAGATAGGAGGGAAGCCAACTCTAATGAATAATTTTCTCCAAAGAGCTTGCTTCCTTTTTTTTTAGAACTTATTATTTGGCTCTATTTTAGTAGATTTAGTAATAATCCACGAACTCTTTTATGTTTTAGGAGGTCAAATTAAACATGAATCATAGTTGGATAGATGCTAAACGAACAAGTACAGAATTTATTAATAGGGTTAAGGGGTTTCTAGAACTTACTCAAAACAATGCTAAAGATAATAGTGGGAGGTTTTCTTGACCTTGTAGGGACTGTTTGAAGGAGAGGCAACTAAGTACAAATGAGATATATAAACACTTAATTTGTGAGGGTTTCTTAAAAGTTATAAAGTATGGATATGATATGGTGAAGGATTAAACATGCTGATGCCAAGCACATCTCAATCTCAAGATGTTGA